CTGGAAGATATGCAAGTGGAAAGCAATAAGTTGGAATAAGAAGCATCAAAGATAGGACTTCAAGTGAACATAGATACAACAGAGGTAGGTGATGAAGATTCCTGGCCAACACCAACAGTAACAACAACGATAGACAACAATCAGCATAAATTGGAGGAACCTGAAAGAAACAACCTTCTGTATCTACCTACCTATCTGAGAAGCATCGTTTCAAATACAGCCAGACGGAATTGACGAGGATATCAAAGCAAGAATCGGAAAAGCAAGACAATCTTTCAATACTCTCAAATCTGTGTGGAGGTCAACAGCACTCAGCATCAAAAATAAGATCCGGATTTTGAACTCCAATGTGAAGTCAGTGCTACTCACTATACGGATCAGAGACTTGGCGCGTCATTAAGAGTGCCTGAAACAAACTACAGACCTTTATTAACAGTTGTCTTCGCTAAATACCACTCAAGATCAGATGGCTGGCCAGAAAAGATCAGCAAAATGGATCTCTGGCAATGAGCGAACCAACCCAGCAGGTGCCGATTGTGAAACAAATAGGCAGGAAGGAATGGAGATGGATTGGCAATACGCTGAGGAAACTAACCATCAAGTGACATCACTAGACAAGCCATTGCTCGAGTGGAACCAGGCCGAAAGGGAGGCGGCGAGTTGGTCGTCAGTGCATTGTTGACTTGGAGAAGGTCATGAAGAAGATGAGATGAAAGCATGTGGAAAGACCTGGAGCGGGGTGAAAAAGTTGGCAGAAAACGGAAGGCAATGGAGACTTGGGCGGCTGAAGCCCTATGTTCCTCTAGGAACTAAAGGATACTATATATATATATATATATATATATATATATATATATATATATGTATGAAAGTTTATCCTTCCTTTCTTTCATTGTAAATCTTATTACTGGTAATTTTTCCAACCGTCTAGCTTAAGAACTAATAACGACTACTTTAACGACATATTAATGAACAAATGTTTGCACTGTGTAGAATAATTTTGATAAAGTAAACAGAAAAAAGTCTTTTTTGTCTGATTTATTCAGACTATTCACATATATTTCATTGTTACAGTTTAACATTTTGAAGACAAAAACTATCATACTTTGATTATTTTAAATGGTCTTTTTTTTACTTAAGGTTTCCTTCTAAGACATTGTAATGGCAGAAAACAAAGAAGAAAATTATTTGGAAAATCTCTCCTGAACCATGTAATCAAAAGATTTATACTTACTTGGATGTTTCCTTTACACTTTGTAATTGCCACCTCTTTTCCACCAAAACTGTATATCACTTTTCTGACATTTTCATATAATCTATTCAATTAATCCCTATTATTATTATTATCATTATAATTTGTCTTTCTTCCTACTTGATCTCTAATTTTAATGCTTCTCTCTTTATATTTGCATAATAATGATATTGATTGTTTGTTGTTTTAAAATTGTGATTTTGTTTAAGTGAGTCAAGTTCATTTTGATCTTGTACTGCCTATAGAAGACAGGAATACACAAGGTCGGTAAAAAGACTGTGAAAGATGTGAACGTCGTGAAAAATTTATACTCTATGCCACACAAACTTTAGGATCTACAGGCAAACGCAAAAAGCTGACAGAAGAGGCGGACAGCGAAGATAGGACTTCAAGTTAACCTGGAAAAGACAGAGTTAATCAAGACACCTAACTGAAAACAACAGTCGTCAATCCCCGTCTACAAGAGTAATGCAAAGGTAGTCACTTTTTCATTTTTTTTGTAGAGTCAGGATCGTTTCACTTACAGGTGTTACAGATGAGAGTGTCAAAGGAAGCCAGGATCTGAAGAGCAAAAGCAACTCTAAGAGTGATATTCTCTAGCCGCCCACTATTTTGGAGCAACACGAAGGACAGACTTCCGCATATGACAACTTCACTGTGCATATATCAGTTCACCTGCTTTTGCGAAGCTAGGTACATAAGTCGTTCTATGAGGGTCTTGTCAAAACGTGTTAGAGAACATCATCCAGCATGGCTGCAAGGAGGAGGCACTGGTTTAATCAGAAGCGCAATAACTGAACACCTCGTCAATACATGTCACAGCATCCTAACTGACTCATCATTCAGAGTCATTTACAAAGTAAACAAAAATCTACCAAATGTAGTGTGTTTCCGACTTCTTTGTACTGCGGAAGCTCTCGCCATATGCATCGAAAAGCCGGAGCTATATGTTCAAAAGAAACTAGTCCAGCCTTTACAACTATCGTGGACCTAGTTCGGTATGCTCCCTTTTCCTTCAGTGTTTTTTGTTTTGTTCTCTGTGTATGTGTAATTTTCTCTCTTTGCCCTCATTCAATTCATCCCATTTTTTCAGTTATAAAATCATTTATTTTAAGTTTGTTCCCATGCTCCTCCTGATCACACTTGTAATCCGTTTAGAATAACCATTTTACAATTATATTCTAATCCTGTGTAATTTTTTGTTTCTAAGCCTCTTGTAATCTATCTATATTCACAACTCCTCCTAACTCACATTTCCAGTTGAAAAAATTTGATTTCAATTTGTTTTCATGCTCATTTTGTTCACATCTGTAATTCTTTCTCTCCGTGCGTCTCTAAGACTCTTGTAATTCATATCAAGTTGAGAATAATTGTCACCTTTTCTTAGCCTTTAAAATTATTTCTCCAATTATCAAATATTAATTTTGCATACGTTGTAACCGTTTTCCAATCCTATGCAATCTTGTCTTTAGGCCGGTTGTAATCTTTATTCGTACCTTCAAACTTTCATATCAAGTTGAAGATTAGTATCACCTTCGTAACTATGTGGAATTAAACAAGTAATAATAATTGTATCCATGTAGACTAATTTATATAAATGCGATTGTACAACTGCTTTTGAGAATGAAATCGCCGAAGAGGTCGCCATCTTATGCTAAACTTCTTATTTTGTTTCCTCTCTAATGTCCCGAAGCGTATTTTCCATGATTTGAAAAAAAGCACTACTCTGAAATCAGTGTATGAGTATACTGCACTTCAACTTAAAAAAAAAATCTGGATTTTCAGCACTAAAGCCACTGAGTTTATGCAGACTTTCATCAACACCCAACTTTCGTTCTATAATGAAGATGAGATGACCAGCTGTAAAAGATAAGCAGCAAGAGTTTCTGGTACAGAAACAATCCAGAACCAACCAACTAACATACGGAATAAAATATAGATGGATTGAACATACGCTGAAACTTACCCAGTTTATTACTAGCTCACCAGTTTTCTAGCCTGTCCCAAGCCCGGGAAAAGAAAGAGGATTAGGCGCGAGGCTAGCGACCCTACCTCAAAAAGTCAATCAAACTGCTACAAAACGTCAGGGAACAAGAAAAATGAGAAAAATAAATAAGGAAAACAAACTTATTCTGCACTGAAATTAGACAGAGAGAGGAAATAATTCTGCTGGCTGATGAGAGCCTTCAAGAAACCTGTCAGCCAACCGATGTGTCTTCTTTCAATGAAAGCAAAAATAAGAATTGGGATGTAGAATGTTCTTACAGTGTATGAAGCCGGGAAGCCTGCTCAAGTTGTCAAAGAAGTGCTCAGAATCTATGAGAGCAGGCGGGTTACATTTTCAAGAAATCTCTGAATGATATCATGTGTTAGGTTCTTCAGTGGAACCTGGATTGGAAATGACGAGATTGACATGGAGGAGACTGTGTGTGTGCGCGTTTGTGTGCAGAAAGTGATAACTTTTGGGAAAACGTGCAGTCAGTCAAACGAGACTGCAGCGAATAGAGTGAAGTGGATGTGTCCTGCTAATAATAATAAAAGGAAGAATTAAGGATAGGCATGTTTAACTTCGTGGAACATTTTCTTTAGTTAAAAAAATAATTCTTGTTTAAATGTTTCTATTGGTAACCGGTAACCAAAAACACACTGTTCAATATAACTAACAGAATAGTGAACTAATCCATTTTGAATAAATATCTTTCTTTTAATACTATTCCTAATATCAAGAAATTAAGCTAACAGCTCTCTGTGATCACGATTATTAATAAAGATAATTAAGAAAATAAAACAAACTGTGTTGAATGAGAAACATTTTGAACAGGTAACTATGACCGCCATTTTGAACAATTAACATAAACAAACAAAAATAAATATATACGACTTACATCACATCTCATTGAAATATAATTGAACAGTCAGTACAAATAAAGACTAAAACACAGTTAATGAATGAACAATCAAAAATTTAAACAAAAAAAACGAAAAAAAAACAAAAAAGAGGAAAGAAAGTATACATATATGTATATATTTTAAACTTTATACAGTTTTGTAGAAGATAATAAATAGACAATCGATTGGGAAAAAATGGTGTCCAGAAGATCTGTAGCAATACGAATATCTTTCAAAGACAGTAATTCATATTTATATAAATAATGATTGTTTTATATTCTTTTTCTTTTTTGTTTTTGAAATAATGGAATGAGGTTTTCAGTTTGAAAGAGCACAGGCAAAACAGTTCAAATGTTTCAGGGAATATTTTGACTATTATAATTACTATTACTATTATTATTATAAGTAGTATTTATAGTTTAGAAAAATAAAAATCGAAGTGAACAAACAAAACAAAAAGTAATTATGCAAAAGAAACTGAATAAGGTAACTATTGTCTTTTTGGAAAATTTTATAATAATATTAATAATAATATTAAGCCCGCAGTTAAAACAAAAATAAACAATCAGAAAATAGATGGACATTGTACATAATTAACAACATTAACAGGCATACCAATTAATGCATTGGTGGTATCTTTAAAAGTGTAAAAATAGCGCAATTTAAACTAATCAAAACTATTGTCTTCTCTAGTGCTTCTTTCAAAATTCACAATAAGTCAGTTAGTTATTTATTTATGAAATTTTTATTATATTTTTGTTCGACTTTTCCAAGAGTATATATATATATATTTTAAAATTTTTCCTATATCTCCTGTAGTATGTAATGAATGCGATATTTGATACTGTCGAAAACTGGACTAAATAGAATCCGTAGTTGTCACTGGATTTGATGGAGATGTTAGCGGGGTATACGTTTTCCAGTCTCTTTGAGTATCCGTGGAGGTTGATGTTGTACTGGTTAAATATGGTGATGTGCTACTGGGAAATGATGAAACAATTGTCGGTTGAAAATATGGCAGTGGGCGTAATGTTTCCACTGAAATATCTTGAAATGGAGGCATATTAGGAATTGATTCAGATGAAGTACTCTGCCAGAGAATTGGTGGAGGATAACTAGATGGTTGAAAAATATTAGGCTGCATATATGGACTATGAGATAAGGTACTAGGTATTGACATACTCAAACTTTGTTCATGTGATGAATAAACGCATGTGACTTCACATGTAGGCGGTTTATGAATTGATTTACCAGGGAATGAAGTTTCACTTGATGGTGTTTCTTTAACTAAACCACAACCATGAATCTTTTTATGCCTTGTACGTTCATCTGAACGAGCAAATTTACGTCCACAAGCTTCACACATATATGGTCGTTCACCTGTATGTGAACGTGTATGCGTTCTTAAGTGATCTGAACGACCGAAAGAACGTGGACAATACTTGCACATAAATGGTTTAGTTCCAGTGTGTATTCTATGATGTCGTTTTAATTCATCAGGTCGAGCAAATCTTTTCCCACATTCTGTTTCAGGACAACAGTATCGACGTTTTTCTAAAGAAGTTGCAGTAGCATTACATGATGTGAACCTTTTATGCATAACTGTTGATGGACCTGGTTCACACGGAAGTGATGGTCTGCTGGTAAGCTCTGACAGGTAACCTGGAAAAGCTTCAGCACTTAGAGTTCTGATTGTCTGACTTGAAAAGAATGATTCAGGATATTCACTAGGAGATGAGATATAATATTCTTCTCCAGACGGAGCTGATTTTGTATGTAAAATGTTATAAATATCAGATTTTTCGAAAACAGGTCCTTCTGGAACAGAATAATGTCTTTGAAGTGATTTTTGAGTAGGAGATATTGAGAAAGAAGCATGACGTTCACTATGCAAAGGTAGTTGTCTATATGTTTCAGGAGCAAGCATTTCTTGTTTTATAAAAGGCATAGGAAATTTCATTGATTTACTTTCTGTCGGCGGATGAGAATGCGAGGTGAACTTAGGTAGATCTACACACAGTGGACTTTCTTGTTTTATTAACATATGACGTTCAGACGGTTTGATATGATGTGATGATAACTTTTCCGCTCCAATTTCAAAAGGAATTCCTGTAGACATTTGGGTGTAACTTGTAGATGCTGTGGACATACAACTATAAGACGGAGTGGTTCTTGTCTCTTGTTCTATTCGACTTGAGGTAAAACGATGCATTTCAGATTCACTGTAACCCGAGGTTAGTGATACAAGAAATCCTTTAGCTGCTTCATGTTCACCAATTTTTGGGATATATGAAGGTTTTATTTGTTTTTGAGAAGACGTCTGAAATATATTTTCAGCTGACTCCTCCAGAGTGTAGGAAGACGATGGTCTGTGAGATGGAGCTGAGTATAGCATTCTTTGGAATTCTTGACCTATAAAAAAATATAAAGTTTTGGTAAAATAAGGCAAGTTTTGAAAGATAGATTTGTACGTTATGTTTTCTAATGGATAAATTTTCATTCAGTCGGTATTATTCTTCCATTCAACAAAAAATAATTTAGAATATCCATAATTTAAAACGTTTTCAGAAAAAACAACAACCAATTTACACTAAATCCTTTGTAGGCTTACAGAGTATTTCTGTCTTCTCACCCACGACAATATAAATAACATTTTCAGTAAAGAAAGGTATAGTTTTGTGGGTTGCAACGTGACTAGAAATTGGTATTCACCCATGTGGAGATAAGCTAGTTCACATTTCAGTTTAAGTGAAAATACTGGAGATGAATCCAATTTAACAGAATAGATGATGTTGCCTTACATGAGCTTTATGAAGACCTATATGACACTGGTTAACTTCCGCCATCTCTAGCGTGGTTACTGATCAGACGAACTATCTACTGTTCAGCGGTCCATTCTGTCCACCTTCATGGCTATAGGACATGACAAGTGAAAGTGAAGGATTTTAGATTTTCCCGTCAACTGATTGGACGGAAGTGTTCGGTCTCAGATTAACATATCGGCTTCTTGTGCAGATACTTCGACAATGTCTGAGCATTTAATTAGATTTCAATTGGTGGATGGTGACTATCAGTGGAATACAGGATGCGCATTTCGTCCTATTTGAGAATCGCCCGCCAGCTGGACATACCTATGGTCACCAGTGAGTGATGTTCCCACTGAGGCTCGAACCAGGTGACTATAGTTTCAAACGTGCAGACATCGTCGAAGCATCTGCACAAGAAGCCGACATGTCAAACTGAGAACTGAGAACTTCGGTCCAATCAGTCGACGGGAAAATCTGAAGAATTAAATAATTAACATGACCCGTTGCACAAGAGTTGGCTCTCGTGGCCCAAGTGGTCTAGTGGGCCTCTGAAATTATGGACACTGGGTTCGAGCCTTGGTGGGAACATCATCACTCAATGGGAAATGCAGGTACCTCCAGTTAGCGGATGAGCCCCAAATAGGATGAAATGGACATCCTGATATACTGATAATAGGCGTATAGTGTTGGGTAAGGAGGAGAAATCAATCGATGGGGTTGTGAAGCTACGTCGACTAAGATAGTTAGGACATAGATTGGACCTGCCAAGCCACCTCTTTTCTGAGCTGCTAATGGTGGTCAGACCAAAAAATGGAATCTATCTATGAAGTCTTTAACAGTGAATTTGAGTCAGACACACGGGCAGGTGAAGACTTCCTGGTTGGGTCCCTGAGGATGGCAACAATCAGTGACTGGAGACAACTAGTGATATGACTTGAAATCATTCTCACTGGTACAGATACATTCACCTGTTTGTGATCTGATGTATCGAATATACCCTTAATGTTTTTCTCACGTTACAACTCTTTCTTTCTCCCTTATATTTCTGCTTATTATCGTTCATTTGAACCTCTGATTTCTCTCTTTTGTCTTCCATTGTGTAATGCATGCAAAATGGGAACTTGAACTGTTGCACTTCTGTGGAAAGTTCTATTCTAAAACCAATCAATCAGCACATGGTATTGGCTTTCATTACCTATCGGATGTTTTGATGGAAATTCATCGTTTCAGCACCCCCCCTGGGGTTGTTTCACTATTACAAAATGGCTCCTAAATATTTTCTAATTAAAACAAAACAAACTTATTTAGGGAAATCAGTGTTTGAGAAATAGAGTTTTGTCAAATTTTAAAACAAATGACAATTAAATAAAAGAATTCAGTGGATAGTGACTAGAAATGTGATCTATGATGCGTATTTCGTCCTATTTAGGACTATTTCATGAAACAGTTTTTATATTACTAATATGTGTGAACAACTGGCAGTGTTTTCACCCAATTATTATTTTTATATTATTGTTCCCTTGGGTTCCTAGAGAACATAGGGATTCAAATGCACGTCTCCACTTGCCACTTCTGTCTCCCTTCTGCTGTACTTTTCTCCACCTGCATCCATGTCACTCCATACTCTTTCAACTCCTCTTCATACGATCTCCTCCATGACACTCACCCTTCCACTGACAACCAACTCGCCGCGTGCTTCCCTTTCGGTCTGGTTCGGCTCGAACAATGGCCTGACGCGCTCACCATGTCACCCAGCGGCCTCCTCAGCGAGTGAGTATCCAATCCATCTCAATCCACTTCCTCCTGCAGATTTCTTGGTTGGCGATTGGTTCTTGTTTTGTTCGTTTGTCCCCATAATTTCTTGTTGGTGATTCTTTCCGGCCCTGCTCGGCTGTTTGATCTCCAGTATAGATCCAGCGAAGACAGTTGCTGGTTGATAAAGGTCTGCATGCAACAGGCTGTTGGAAATATTCTTTGTGACGCGCCCGCCCGCCCGCCAAGTTTCTGATCCGTATAGAAGAACTGACTGATTTGACCAGGTTTGTATTGAAAATCCGACTGAACTTCGTTGTTGATGCTGGCTGAGTGACGAAGATTGGTTTTCCAGATTGTTTTCAGGTTGATGATGAATGTGTTTTTGCCAAATAGTAAACCAAATACAACTAGACTTAGGTAGCCTAAACACCAAGATAACTACTATTTTCACTGAAAGTGAAATTCACCAGAGAGTGGTTTTAAAATGAAATTTTCCTCTCTATGAACATTGCTGCTGAGCTTTGGTTTCAGGAAAAAATCAGCATGAATTTTTCAGTCGAGAAATTATTCATATATTATCAAGTTGGGCGAGTAGTCTACAGTACTGATTAGTAAACTACTATTCCAAAATGAAAGTATTTGCCTTGAACTTTATTTGACGTATTAACTGAACATGTAGATCTAATACTTTGTAAACCAATTTAAAAATGTTCTCTACAGCTGACCCATATTTATCAATAAATATGATGAGGATTTGAGGCTAATTAACTAACAATAACCGTCTGAAAGTCTATTAATTAGGTTGCACTTCTATCCCCACACAATATATCATATTTCCTCTAATTTGTATTGTTTTCAATTTTTTGAAGAGTTGGTCTGAAGGCATTTAGTTTGTTTTGAGTTTGATAACAAATTGATATTATAGAAAGTTATTCTGATGCTCGCTAGTGACTTGCTACAGGTTGGAGTTTCCTGAGTTCTAGTGAGAAGTCGTGACCAGTGAGGTCCAATTAGATGTCACGTGTGTGGATGGATGTCCCACCAACGACAATGGTTGGGGTCGCGCTAAATCACGAATTGGTAGAAGTTAGAATTCACGAGCCATTGAATCGGGTCCCAGTGGCTGAATGGTATACGAGCTTGCCTTGTAACCGGAAGGTCCTGGGTTGGAAACCCAGTGGGTGCGTAATGCCGATGATTCCCAAACTAGGATGAAACAGCAGCTGTCCAGTACTCCCTGGTTTTCAATGGTTCTCTAACTGATATCAATCCGTGATCAACTCGTAAAAACATAACTAATCCTTACAAACCAAAAGTATAGAAAATTGATATCAGTTAGAGAAGCACTGAAAAACAGATAAAACTAGACAACTATTTCATCATATTACGTTTGAGACTCATCGTATATATATTCATCCACCAGGTTCGAATCCAGCACCTTCCAGTTACAAATCGAATATCTTGAAAACAAACTACTGAAAAATAATCGTATGTTTCCTAGTGACTAGTGGAAAGCTGAAGTTCACTGCAGTTCAAGAGAGAATTTATGATCACTGGGGCTCACCCGATCAGGAGTGAGGATTAATACTCACTGATGATATTGGTTGATGCAGTTCATTCTAAAATCACGAATCTGTGGAAGTTGGATACCATGAGCTGGCTATCGGGTTGGATCCTTGTGACTGATTGATCTACGAGCTTTTGTTGTGACCGGAAAGTTCTAGATTCAACCACAGGCGCGGTGGGTGTGTAGTGAAGATGCGTATCAAACTTTGACGAAACAGTCTTCTAGTGCTACCTGGTTTCCAGTAGTTGTCTAACTTATTGTTTGAACTATTCAGCAATGTCCTTGAGTTGCAAAGTGTACACTCATACTAGAAGACATTTCTCGGAGATGGAGAAAAAAATGTCATGACGGATTGGTCTATACTTGGAAACAAATAGCATTGCGTCACACAGTATGCTGTAGAATGCTGTCATTATGCCCTATGTGAATATTTCATTGAAAATAAAGTTGTTATTAATTATTGGATTGCGCGGATGATCTATGTTTGATGTCACATAATATCGAAGACTTACAAGCGGAAACCGACAAACTGGTCGAAGAAGCAGCCGGCGAATACAGGACTCCAGGTGAACATAGATAAGACGGAGGTTATGAAAATAACCAACCAAAAACAACAACAACAACAGCCGCAACATCCAGCGCCAATCACGATCAATGGGAGGGATTTGAAAGAGGTTACTTCATTCACTCACTTATCTAGCATTGAGAATTGTCTCAACTACAGGGCAGAGAAACGGACGAGGATGTCAAATCGAGCGAGAATCGGGAAGGCGAGAAACACATTCATCATCAACCTGAAACCAGCCTGGAAAACCAATCTTCGTCACTCAGCCAGCATCAACAACGAAGTTCAGTCGGATTTTCAATACAAACCTGGTCAAGTCAGTCAGTTCTTCTATACGGATCAGAAACTTGGCGGGCGGGCGGGTCACAAAGAATATTTCCAACAGCCTGTTGCATGCAGACCTTTATCAACCAGCAACTGTCTTCGCTGGATCTATACTGGAGATCAAACAGCCGAGCAGGGCCGGAAAGAATCACCAACAAGAAATTATGGGGACAAACGAACAAAACAAGAACCAATCGCCAACCAAGAAATCTGCAGGAGGAAGTGGATTGAGATGGATTGGATACTCACTCGCTGAGGAGGCCGCTGGGTGACATGGTGAGCGCGTCAGGCCATTGTTCGAGCCGAACCAGACCGAAAGGGAAGCACGCGGCGAGTTGGTTGTCAGTGGAAGGGTGAGTGTCATGGAGGAGATCGTA